GCGGTCCAACCAGACGTGTCGAGGCTCGAAGGGTGGACCAGGCCGACTAAAGGCCTTGTGCAGGTGGACCAGTCATACTGTAGACTCAGAGAGTGGACCAGGTCTGTTGAAGGCCGGTGCAAGAGGAACAACCACACTGCAGACTCGATGTATATGACTAGACTCGGAGGATGGACCAGGTGGACTGAAGGCCCGGTGCGGCGGACCAGTCACACAGTAAACCTAAAGTGCATGGCTGTTCTGTTATGTGTGATGATATGTTATGAATTGTGTATGGTATTGTGGTTGGTATTTTGGGGGTATCTCACTAAGTTTTCGGGCTTACAGTTGTGGTTTAATGTTTCAGGTACTACAGTAGACCATGGCAAGGCAAAGGCGTGATCGTACCACTCCTCATGTTTTATGTGTTTATGATGTGGTTCTGGGAAATACTCTGATAATAAATGTATTAAAAAACCTTTTTGTAATAACTTTATGAAATGGGATGTTTTTGAAAAGTTTAAGTTGGTTGGAATTTTTAGAGCGTTACAAGTTGGTATCAGAGCCTTGGTTTGTGTGAATTGGAGGAACATTCATGTGAATCCAGTCTCAAATCAAGGAGAGTTTTCACAAGAGAATTTAAAAAGGGTTTTCAAAAATGAGTAAAGGAGGACGCGGAGGTACGATCAGCTGGAGCCAATAAGTAACCCCAAAATACCATACAAGTTTTTTTTTGTGAGATATGATAGAATAACATGCTAGTACTAGGCTAGGGGTCTTCAAGAATTGCATGATAGAGTTGCTTGATTTATGATGCCTGCTAGCCTAGGGTTTCTTTCTGTATGAGATTTTCAGTGTTCCTCTAGGAGTGGGGGTTGAGTGCTTGTTATGCATGTTCATCACTAGGGTATTGTGGTGATACTTGATATAAATATGGGTAGGTGTGGAAGGTAGTATGGGCCCGTACTACTGAAAGCACAGGACCCATACTCGTATCAAGGAAGTCACAACCCCTAGGGCTGGGTTGGGAGTTAGTTCCTGGGTTAGTGAGAAGCATCTGATGTTTTGCAGTAATTTCAGTATGGTGGTTATGAGGCATGCTGGGAGCGGATCCGGAGCGGGATCGGGAGCAGGAGAGGGTGGTCAGGGTGGGTCAGTACCACCCGAGGCTATTGGTCAGATGAGAACAGACGAGTTGGATACTAGGATTCGTAAGATCCTACATGATGAGGTTGTTGCTTTGTTCCAGACCGAGTTGCCAAAACTGTTTGGGTCGATCAAGACCACCATGGTCGAGTATTTTGATGAGCGTTATGCAGCTCTTACAGAGACGGTTGTCGCGGTGGCTACAACGGCTGTAGCAGCGGCATGGGGAGGAGCCGGTAGAGGTTTTCAATATCGGGACTTCGATAAGAGATCACCTGGATGTTCACTGAGAGGGCGATGTTTTGCCCGAAGTTTGCTTCGGAGCAGCCTAAGATGTCCCGATATCTGAGTATTCTCAAGAGGGATATCATGCAGTTTGTGTCTACGCAGAGGTGCGAGACCTTGCTGGAGTTTGCAAGAGGCCGCCAGGTGGCGTGAGTTGGAGATTGAGTTGCAGTTGAGAGAGCAGAGGTAGGCCCCGGTGCAGTCGCAGCTAGCGTCGAAACAGTCCAAGACCGTTGATTCTAGGTTGGGAGATCAGGGCAGCCGCACTTGTGGGAAGTGCGGGAAGATCACACCGGAGTTTGTAGGTCCGGTGGTGCGTGCCGCAAGTGCGGGAGAGAGGGGCATTATGCGAGGGATTACCGTCAGTCAGCCCCAGTTCAGGATATGAGGATTTGTTTTCAGTGCCATCAGGTCGGTTACATGAGGGCCAACTGTCCACAGCTTACTGCAGGACCGGTGCAAGCTCCAGCACCGGCCACTTTGAGGATTACGGGTGGAGGTCAGGGTGGAGCAGAGCCCCCGAGGGCTCAAGGACGTGCTTTTCAGCTTACAGTAGAGGAGGTCAGGGCAGAGCCGGCTACAGTTGTGGGTATGTTTCCTTCTTGATATCTTGTTATCTTATGGTTGTTATGGAGTATTATATCTGCTAGTCTCGTTCGCATAATTCATGGTATTGTATTCGTTCGATCTTTCGGGTTTATGGTATTATTGAAGGGTCGGTAGTTAGGGGTTAGAAACAGTTAGCATCCAAGGAATTGATGGTTAGAATTTGGTTGTATGGTCTTGTTGTCGGGTATAGCAATTATGTTTTGAGTAGTGTTCAGCGGGGAGTCGAACTCCCTTAGAGTTCGAGATGCGTGATGCCGGAACGTGGTTTTTTGGAGGTTGCTCGTTTAGAACCAGTTCAAGTATAAGAGAATTTGTTGAGTAAGAATGTTTAAGTGATGTCGGTTGGGTCACTGTTGGTTGGTAGTCAGTGCTCTAAGTGGGGAGAATTGGAAAATTCTCAGGAGGATCGACAAGTAGGCCCCGCGGACCAGATATTCCGAAGGCCCAGCAAGCTGTTCGAATAGGTTGTAGGCCCCGCAAGGGTGGACCAGACGTGTAGAGGCTCGAAGAGTGGACCAGGCCGACTGAAGGTCCGGTGTGGGCGGACCAGTCATACTGTAGACTCAGAGAGTGGACCAGGTAGGTTGAAGGCCGGTGCAGGCGGACCAACCACACTGCAGACTCGATGTATATGGCTAGACTCGGAGGGTGGACCAGGTGGACTGAAGGCCCGGTGCAGCGGACCAGTCATACAGTAGACCCAAAGTGCATGGTTGTTCTGTGTTATGATATGTTATGAATTGTGAATGGTATTGTGGTTGGTATTTTGGGGGTATCTCACTAAGTTTTCGGGCTTACAGTTGTGGTTTAATGTTTCAGGCATTACAGTAGACCGTGACAAGACAAAGGTGTGATCGTACCGCTCCTCATGTTTTATGTGTTTATGATGTGGTTCTGAGAAATACTCTGATAATAAATGTATTGAAAGCCTTTTTGTAATAACTTTATGAAATTGGAATGTTTTTGAAAAGTTTAAGTTGGTTGGAATTTTTAGAGCGTTACAATGGGTTAGGAGGGGTTTTGTTTTTTTTTTTATGATTTGTTTACCCACAGCCCATAAAATTGTTAACCCACCTTGATATGCAATCAGCAGTCTGCAGATTAAAAGATACATACAACATAACTTAGCACAATCCATTTATGCACATTATGACAGATTGAACTACTTATTATAAAGAAAGAAAACAGGTAATGAATTGCAGTGATAAACCAAAAAGAAAAGATAAATTATTTTCCATATTCCGATTCTAGAGCTTGATTCTGGAAAGCCAAGATAAGTTTTTCATTGTTTGGGATTTCAAGTTTGGTTATCTTTTCCTTCAAATCGGTTGATAGATATACACGATTTCTGCATTGATCTTTTCTACAGTTCTTTTTTTGATACATTTTGGTGTTTGTTTGTATTATGCCTTCAAATATACTCAATACTGATACATTATTTCTCATACCAATCCAGCAATTTCATAATTTGCTTCTTCTTCATTATCTAGGCTTTTCTGCAACACAGAAAAGTATACTTTAATACAAAATCTCATATAATAATATAACTTAATCAAAAGTTAATCTATCAGAAACAGAGAAAGCATATAAAGACCTGAATCAGTGAGAAGTGCCCTGGGCCAGTTCATAAAATTGTGAAGGCCCCAAATTCATTTCTTAACGTAAGAATAAGTATGTGATTAATGGCTTATAGTGCAAACATGTAAGAAAGATTAACCGAATCTACATCCAAATCTTTGTTAGCAAAATGTAGAATTAAACTCAAAAACCCATAAACTCAAGAACCCATCATCACCAAATCACTTTTCATAGCTGATATCCCTATTGCATACTTGGAGCCTTGCTTGCTTGTAACTCTCTGTATGTTGGATACTGTAAAAGGTCACAGAAGACAATGAAAAAGAAATTCAAAATTCAAATCTTTTCCCTGCAAAGATTAAAACAATCTGGAAAGAAAAATCAGATGAGGATTATGATTGAATAAATGGAATTTTAGAATTAAATCATACCTATTATCATGGATAGGGGAAAAATTGAAGGATAGTTTCACTTAGGCATTTCACCAAACATCTAATATGCACCTACTTGATTTCTATCGGACATTACACATAATCCTACAGTTAACCCATTCAAAAGACAATGTATTCCTAGGTAGACAATCCAAACCAAAGTATCCAATACAGTGTAATCCAAATAGAAGCTGGAATGGAGAGATAAGCAATGACTACCATACATAACCCAATGTTCTTCATTGGGTTATGTGTGTGCCGATGGTAAGGTCGCTATTGGGTTTGAGAGCTGATGCCATATTCGTAAAATTTCAAAAAATAAATAAATACATAAATAAATTCTTCTTTCTATTGAATATAAAACTAACCTAAAGTCTTAATCCAATTATGAAGAAACACTCATGGACTTACTGAGGACAATGAATTTTGAAGTTCCATGTGTTTGATAGCTAAATCTTTTAACCCCTCTTTCAATTTCGCTTCATGATGTTTTTTTTTCTTCAAGCGTACTGACTAATCTTTCAAGAAATCTGAAAATTGACCAATGGTCAAAACTCAAAACTGTGTATACTTTTAAATAAAATTTATGTAAAGCACGAACCTTTTCGAGTTGAGAATCATAATGAGGTCCCTTGTTTTCTTATTTGTGAGCAAAGAAATGGCTGAAGAGAAATCTGATAACATTGACTGGATAGCATCAGAAGCTTACTTCTGTAACACAAATGGAGCTACTGCTTGAACTTGATGTTGTAATGACAATGTCTCTGTATTTTGTTAAATCCATGATTCTTGGATTTAGAAATGCTTTAATCCGACACCAAAAATGTAATTTCCTCAACACTTAATGTGGAAAATATAAAGAAAAGAGCAATTTAATATAATACCTCAAACAGATCATCAACAATCCTACTCATGTACTCTGTCTCCAGAAGCCGACTCCTAACTTTGATTCCTTGACTTTCATTAAAACATTCATCCCTGATGGCATTACATTTATCAAGGCACTATTTTGAGTTGATTCATCTTCAAGATTCACAACACCAATATCCCAAGAGATTTTGATACCATTTTTTCTTTATTAGTCTCATTAGATTCCATTCCATCTTTTAAAGAATTTTCCGGAATCTCACTGGCATCAACAACTTCGTAGGCACCAAATCCATCACTCGAATCCTCCACAGTCCCAATATCCCAACCAATATGTGAGCTATCCAAAATAATATCCCAATCAATACTATCACCTGCAGCATCACCTTCAAAACTTATTTCATTGTTAGAACTTCTTTCAGCATTAACATAAGCCAACACTTCAGAAGCTGCAGAAACTTCAAGAGGCGGAGGGTTGTCAATGATGTCCCTTAGATTTGGCAATACAGTCTCCGGATCTTTCTGTCAATGAAACAATTAACTTTTTGTTAAATGTTATAAAGTATAAACCAAAAAATGAATGAAATTTGATATGAACTTACATCCTTTTCTGTGTGAGCATCTTTAACAAAATTGGAATAGAATTCAATTGCTTGTGAAACGGAATCACAGTTCAAAACTTGAAGCATTTTGCTAAATGTGTAGGGCAATGAAGTTGTTGCAGTTTCTAGTAGTTCCAGCTTCACATTGATTCCCTGCAATCCTAACTCATGGCAGGCTTCTGAATACTTAGCAGCTGAGAGAGCATCATTCCTTTTGATATCAGCTTCCTTTCGTTTTTGCTCAAAAAAACCACCGTCAAAACAATTCCCGGATCAGTAAGAACATAATTCGAATCAAAAACCCAATTGATAAATGGAAGGATATACAGAAGAAATTAGGGCTTAGATAATTAAAATTGAAAGTTGAATTCTCAAATAGTCGAAAATTTAACTCTCAAGCATTCAAAAATTCGAGTCTGGGCCATCGTCTAGTCAGAACAAAATTCGAAAAGCAGAGAAATGAAACCGATTGTGTGACGGCGAAGCAAAGGAGGGAAGTACCTGGTGTAGAGGGAAGCAATCGGCAGTGTACTAACCCAGCAGAGAGATAAACTAACCTCATGACTGATATGAGTTGGTCGGTCCAATTGTGGGTTGGTCGGATTCTTTGATAGCAGTTCGTTAACGACATCAGTGTGCCCTTTTGGATGCAATCAGGAGGAGATGTAGGGGAACCTCCGGTCACTGCTTCCCCTAATCAAAATCGCATATGCCACAGCCGCACACCGACTACCAGGGTAGATCGGTCGTCTCCTTATCTAGTGTTGCCATTTGATAATTCCAATTTTTGTCCAGCAGTGAAGGCCATAACGAAAGAGAAAAGTGAGAAGGTCGATTGTTCTTCGTAGAAGAAGGTAAGCGGTGGAAAAAGTCGATATGGGAAAAAAGAAGGAGCAGGAAACAAACAGTAGCTTGCAAAGATGAGTCACGGAGGTGGAGGACGCGAGCCAGGGAAGAACATGTGTCCACCACACCGACACATCCAGTCCAATGTTGAGCTAAAATATTTGTGGCGAAAATAATATTACCAAAAGCAAAAGGAGGTAAACTGCTAATGTTCAAAAGTTTTGTAGCTAAAGTCCTAAGCAGCAAAACTTCACTGTTCAATTGGGAACTCAAGATTAATATAATTATATAATAGAAAATAAAATATAAGTAAACAAGTAATAAAAGAAATGTGCATTTAAGGAAACAAAATATGAGTTATTTGGTTTTTCCTTTTTAATTTATTAAAAATAAGTTTATAATTAATAATATTAATATAAATAATTAATTTATTAATAAAAAATATATCAATTGTTTAGTAGTATTTTAATTTCTTGAACAATTTAATGTGAATGAGAATTTCAAAAACATAATAAAAGATAGATTATATATATATATATATATATATATATATATATATATATATATATATATATATATATATATATATATATATATATATATGAAAGAGAAAGATGGAAAGAGAAAAAGAAAGAGAGAGAAAAAAAGATAATTTTTCATAAAAAAAGATAATAATTAATGTTTAGAGTAGGTAGAATATTATTGAAATGACAGATTGATGTGTATTTAGTAGGATAAAAAAAATACACTTCTAATAAACTTGACATGTATGCATCAAGTATGATGTATGTGCGTATATATGTGTTTGTGTGTGTGTTCGCAGAAAGAGATAGTGGTGGTTACCAGTGAAAGGAAAATAGAAAACGAAAGGTGGGTTATGGGAATAAATAATCCTTTAAGAGGTAAATTAATGATGAAGAACAAATCCAATAAAACACTCCTTTGGACGCTCAATGCAACTTTAAAATATTTTGAACCTAACGCACACAATAGACTCACAAAATTCTTGGAGGCTCTAGTGTTTAGAGATTAGGGTTAGGGGCTACGGAGGCTGGAAATAAGGCCAACACCTGGAACTTAAGGTGTTTAAATATGGTGCAAAACCCTAAAATTAGGGTTTCCTAAACAACACCCAACTCGTCGAGTTTCCTTCACCAATTCGACGAGTTGGTCCTCAAAAACACGCGAACCCAAAAGGTTTTAACACGTCGAGTCTATGCCACAAACTTGACGAGTTGGTTGCTAAAAAGGGAATTTATTTCCATAATTGACCTTCTAGTTTCCGGATGTTACAACTCTCCCCCACTTAAATTTGATTTTGTCCCCGAAATCTCTCATTACTGTCTATCATAACAAAACAATCCACCTGAGGGACATAATTGAAAATTCTGCGCATAAGACAATCTTCCCAAGACAACCGAAATCCCAAACCAAAACTTCTATCCAAAGATAACATCCAAACCTTCATCCCATGCATAACACTTTTACTTTTCTTAGACTTGAAATCTATGATGATCTGACTCCTTGATAGACCGCTCACGTTGAAACAACCCCATGCCAAATTCTCAACGAATAATTGACCAAACATAACACTTCCAATTTTGAACGTACTACGACCTATCTTAATTTACTAAAACCACCTTTAGAATAGCGCTTCAAGCCTGATGAAGAAATAATCCTCAATATCTTAAATAAAACCAATCCTATCTCTCTTGAAATCCAAATCCTAAGTCTCAATGGTCTGACTCCCTGTTTGACCTCCTACACCGAACCGTTACCATGCCAACCTTATAGAATTTCATTCCAACAAAATACTTCCTATCCATGATCACATCGCTACTTCCAAGGGACAATGCCACTAACCATATACCGCTACAGAATACCTATACTCGATAGAAGCTCATATAATCCTTCGAGTAGAAGATTTATCTCTGCAACGGTTAGACTCAGATGAGAGCTGCGCAACAGGGTCAAATCAATTACTCTAAGATTATTAAATACCACTACGAGTGACTTGGCATTTCCTAATCTATCAGTTAATCCATACACACAAGACCCAATCACTGATACTGCTTGAAACAATAGAACTGTCCGACACACTAAAATTGCCCGAAATAGCATGCTACATCTTGGCTGCTTTCAAAAGTCCACCGAGACCTCCCTGGCCCTAATTCGACATCTGATATACCGGGTTCCATCCTAGTTGCTGAGCCAAAAGACTCCCACATAGTCGCTCCTCACGACTTCCGATAAAAATGTAGAAGTAATTAATCGAGTATTGAAATGTAATCAGAGTAAATCAAGTAATAAGAACACAAGGAGTAAATAGAATCTGGTTTCAGCTCATTTACTTTCAATGCACAAAGAGTATTACAGACAGAGAACACTGGAAAAACTCATATCTAAACTCAAGGTACAACATAGGAGGACTGAAAGTACAAAAAATATTAAGGGCTTAATATTCAGACTTCGTTACAAAAGATGCCTTAGTAAATAGATAAAGACTAACAAAACATACAATACACAGACTTCAACATATTACAACAATTTCTACCTAGCAATCTGCCCCTTTGTAATAATGTCGAATTCTTAATTTGTGAGAATCTGTGCAGCAAAGTGCATCATCCTTCGTATCTCAAAGTACCAAGTCATCACTTTTTTCAACTCTATCTTATCCCCTTTGTTATTCTTCTTGCAATTGTTCATACGAACAATGAAATTCGTATACTGAGCTGTAGTGTACCTCTCAATTTTCCAATGCCTAGAACAAGAATGTAACGCCCTTGAATCCGGGCTAGTCAATTTAGAGACGATAAACATCAAAAATGACTTTTTGATGAAAGATTATTTAGAAGGATTAATCTTAACCAAGTTGTAGTATATGTGTCAAGGTTTCCGAAAATATAAAGAACGCCGAAATCCAAGTTATAACAAAGAAGTTATGACATGTCGAAATTTCGCGACAAAACCGGCACGGTGCCGAATGTCGTAAAGAGTGAGTTTTTGATAAACTACTTTTTAGCCTTAATGATCTAAACGAAAGTCGTAGTGCTCGTTAAACCGAGAGTATGTATATAAAGAACGCCCAAATCTGACTTCGTATGAGGAAGTTATGATTTTTCAAAGTTTCAGCTTAGCAGTAGACAGCTAAAAACTCGAATTTTAAATCGAGTGATTTATAGCCGACACGACCTAAACAAGAATCGAAGGTATCATAAATAGTAGCACATGGTAAAAAGTCTGATGAAAACGGACGTCGGGTGAAGAAGTTATGAATTTTTAACGTATTTCCTGTCCCGGTCTGTTAAAAATAATAATATAAAAATTAAAGTTAAAGTTAGACGACGAAGTCTAAACGAAAATTGTAGATCGTAATTTACCTACGCGTGCAGATAAAGAACGTTAAAAACGGAGCGCGTATGCGAAATTTATGGATTTTAGAAGTTTTTGCACAAAAACCGAGAAAAAGCACAAAATCCGAGGAATTTTGCATGGCCCAACTTCGGCCACGTCACCTTTGCTCATAGCGCGCCACGTGTCCGAATTGCTGAGTCCCCCGAGGCCAGCTGGCGAGGCGTGTCGCTTTCGGATTCGACTGAAGTCTCGGCCCTCGCACATCCGACGCGTGTACAGTGACTCTTCGATCCGAGCTTCGCTGGTCCAATCCGAAGATGCCGCTTGTCGTCGCGTGTCCGAGCCTCGCACGAGCCACCTGCCCTCCCCCTCGGTCCGAACCCTCGCCTATAAATATAAGGCTTGTGAGATTACCCGGTTACTTTTTAGGAAATTGGCAATTTTGGCCCCTTTTTCAATATTTTGGCTATCTCAACGTCCCCCGAATCCCCGATATCGATTATAACACCCAGAACACGCCCAGAAGTGCCCGAAGACTCGGAAAATTTATCTTTTCGGTTTCGAAGCCCGACCCTTCGCAAAGCCCGGTTTCTCAATAAAACTCCTGGTTTTATTAGAAACGATTGTTTTAGGAAACAAATTGCTGCCCGATTTTCATTAAATCAAGTGAGTGTGTAGTCACTTTCATCTTATACATAGATATGCAGTATTTTATATAAAATATGTGCTATGTGTGTATATGTTGTTTGTTTATGCGAGATAGATGTTGAATGAATGTTTTATACATGTTTAAAATGACTTAAAATGTATAAATATTTTATCTTCAAATATGCTGGGTAAAACATGTGTAGATAAAGAATGAGGGATAAAAGTACAGTATAGATGTACGTTGGTAGCTATGAATTTAGTACAGTATAAATGTACGTTGGTAGCTATGTATTTTGTACGTTGGCAGCTATAGACTTAGTGTCTATTAGATAAACCCTGGTGACAATGTGACTTCGTGCCTATTAGATAAACCATGGCGACTATGGAGTTAGCGACTATTAATGTGAACCTTGGTGACTATGGAGTTAGTGCCTGTTGTATGAACCTTGTTGACTATGGAGTTAGCGCCTGTTGTATGAACCCTTGGTGACTATGGAGTTAGCGCCTGTTAAAGTGAACCTTGGTGACTATGGAGTTAGCGTCCTGATAGCTATGGACTTAGTACCTGATAGATAAACTTTGGCAGCAATGGACTTCGTGTCAATTCCTTAGGTCAATCCTTAGGAACGAATGAGTAAAGGATAGTTTATTCTTAGGGTAAAACCTTAAGAAATAAAGAAGATAATGGTGATGGGTAATTGGGATGATTGTTTGATGATTAAATATAATAATTATGTTATTGTGGGTTGAAAACCCTATATGCTCACCAGGCTTCCAAGCCTGACCCACTCAGTTTTCTATATTACAGGTAGTGGACCCCGAGCATAGTTGGATGATGACGATGAGTGATTTTGGATTATAGGCCAGTAGTTGTAAATAACTGTGTAAGGCTTATAATGTCTTGTTTATGCTTTTGATCTGTATCGGAACATGCATCCGAGGTTTTGTTATGAAATAAAAATATATATTTCTTAAAGAAAGGTTTTGATAAATTTTTATCCTGTTTGTTTTTGGGAACAAATTCCGCAACACTTTTAATCAAATGATTACTCTGATTTTATTTTAAAAAGCATAAACGAAATCGGTCTTTTCTGGTGGTGAAAATGGGGATGTCACAAAGAACTTCTTCGCTTTCCCTTTCTTGTCTTTTCCGGAAAATACTAAGCCTAATGGATTTAAACATATTTCTCCATCAGGAAAATTTCTTCAATTCAGCCTAAGACTTCGACACTTCCATTGCTACTTTGACTTCCTTTCCCAATGCAGAAGCAAACTCCACGTTAGTTAGAGATAGACAATCATAGTAATTATCTATGAAGATTTTAACATGACCCAAACCAAGTCTTAAAACTTCTTTGCTTGTTCCTTGAAGATTCGCAGCATCCATGTCCTTCACTATTAATGAACCTTGAATAAGATCATTCAAGTTCATTAGAGGAAAATTAGCAACAGAAAAGTCACAAGCTACATTATTTTCCCGCACCACATGATAGCGAAAATTTTGAATTGTGTTTTCGAACAATACATCTTTAGTCACACTTATCACTCAAACAATTTTGATAAGTGACTATACTTCCTCCTACTTTTTCCCGACAACAACATGAAACTTAAGTTTCATATGAAGGAAGTCATCTCATTAACAGGAAAATCCAGCTGATTCATATAAGTGTTTGTGATAGAATAGCTCTTTCTCGGCTTCTTCTCGAATGCATACATTTGATTGTATGAAACTATGGCTTCAATATTGTCATAAATGTGAAGCTTCTTCGGATCTCCCTTGTCCATGTTTGGTGGGTCATTTTATCGAAGCCTCATTATGCTTTGTGTAACACCATAAATTTTCAAAACAAAATTTTCATTTAAAAATCACATAATACTCATAATGTATTTCACAAAAATCTAATTTATTAAGTTTGTAATTCAAAACTCCATAATTGCTCGTTTAAAATCTAGGATCCTCAAAACATAACTCTTCCACTGGTGTGTACAATCAAGCCGGTGCCTTCCCGCGATCCCGGAAACAACCTAAAACACATATCACTTAACACGGTAAGCACGAAGCTTAGTGAGTTCCCTAAAATACCACATACAACACATAAGCCTCTCGGGGCTATAACTCGGTAAGACCCTTCGCTCAATGTGTCTCAGCGGGACCCTCCAGCCCCGTAGCTTGTTGGACCCTCCGGTCCTGTCTAGCTCGTTGGACCCTCTGGTCCGATCTAATCGTTGGACCCTTCTGTACGGTCTGGATGAGGACCCTCTGGCCTCGTAAGTCGTTCGACCCTCCGGTCCGATCTAAATATCACATAGCATACATAAATTACAATGCACATAATCTCAAGTAAACACATAACACAAAAGACCCTCCGGTCTGCACATAGATACCACTCTAGGTAATGTATAGTGAAAAGACTTACCTTGCAAGTAGGTGAGCAAATAACATCGCGCTTGGATCTCGAACTAGCCTCTGCCTAACACAAAGGATGAATAATTCTAATTAATACTATTTTCACGACTCAAGTAACCAAAGGCTAATCTTTCTCTCTCTAACGCTTTAAAGTGGATAAAAGACCGTTTTACCCCTCCATGGTCTCTATTTCTCACCTTGACCAAAACTCCAAAGTCAATAGAAGTCAAACTCAAGTCAACAGTCCATGATTGACCTGACTCACCGAGTGCACCTATGTGACTCGTCGATTCCAGCATTTCCTAAGAAGTCTCATGAAGGTCCAGCTCAACTCATCGAGTTGACCCCCAACTCGCCGAGTTATCGCACAATAAATCTCATCGGGACAAAACCTCACTGACTCATCGATTCAGGCCATGTACTTGACGAATCCCTTCGATCTGATTTCTCTTTTAGGCGATTCTAAGCGGATCTACAACCTCACACTCCAGATCTATCCTCCTAAGGCTCGAATAGTACGTAAAGCTACAAGCTTTACGTTCATATATGGCCTATAAGGCTCATAATGCCAACACATGCACCAACAAGGGCTAGATGCACAAGAGCTTACCTCCAGCTCAATAAAGCTCGAGTCTTTTAACTCACAAGGCCACTTATAGCCCAGATTTGAGGTTCCAACCAGAATCCATGCACCAATCACTCAATGACACAAGATAGATGGAAGAAAACCCTCAAAAATCCATAAAACAAGATCTCATAAATAAATGGTCAAGTAAGCATCTTTTCACCTCCAACTGAAGCAAAACTCTGGAGATTGTAACAGCCCGAAATTCAGGTACAACCGATTAGCCCTTCATCTTTATTCATTTGTCATTTTGGGCCTTTGTGTTGGGCGAGTACGCTGCGCGTACTCGCGCGCCTCATTTAAACACGTCATCGTCGGGTACGCTAGGCGTACCCAAGGTTACGCCGGGCGTAATCGGTCCAGACCCAAAACCCTAATTTGAGTTGTTGGCTATAAAAGGAATGAGATGGCTTGGTTCCTCAACCACCATCCTTCAGAAAGAAACCCTAAGAGAGTTGTTCCTTCGTCCATAGCTTGTTTGTGAGTGTGCTAAGCTTTGAGGTGACTTTTCAAGGTAGCAAAAGGGAAGAGGAGTCCATTGTGGAGGCTAGAAGTTGGTGTGCAAGTGTAGATCTGGGTTAAGCAAAGGTTGGAGCTTCTTCCTGAGTTAAAAAGTTCAGATCTTTCCTTGTAGTTCTTATGGTATGCTTCATGGACCAATTTCTAGGGTTTTGGCCCCCAAGATGGAGACTTTATGAGCGAGTAGTCTCCATTGGCTTAGATCTACCATATTCCAGGTCCATTTGAGTGGTATGTTCATAAAAATGTGATCTTGGACGTATATATTTAGCCATGCATGAGATCTAGGTCTTTGGAGGTGAAAAGGAAGGTGTTAGAGGGTGTAGGAGCCTTTACAGCCATGCCAAGGCTTAAGGTTCCGACTTTATGGATTAGGAGGCTTATAGAGAGCCAGATCTGGAAGTTGAAGGAGTGTCTTAACCATTTAAGACAAGAAATATGGTATGGCTGAATCTGGGGTTTACACTAGGCGTAACTCCTAGTACGCGCAGCGTAACGGGTTGCGACCCCCGTTTGTGACTCGTCGATGTACGCCCCACGTACAGAATCTGGTACGCCCCGCGTACTGTGGTTAGTTGACTTTTGTTGACTTTTAGGGTTTGGTCAACATGAGTCAAGGAAGGGTAAAATGGTCTTTTACCCCTCTGTGGAATAATGATAAGGGTATAGCCTAGTCTTGAAAGTCTATATTAATTAGAACGATATTTCGTTATGATTAGGCGAGGTTGGGTCTTCGTTTCGAGATTCAGAGATAGCGAGCACGTGAGATTCTAGAATTCCTGCGAGGTGAGTCTTCTCACTATACTGTACCCGGAAGGGTATTTATGTGTGACTGAGAGGTCGGATATGTTATGAGTTGTATGCATTGAATATGATAAGTTAGCTGTTTGTATGTGCGATGTATGTTATGCTTGATATGGGCCGGAAGGCATCATGTTATGGGCCGGAAGGCATTTTATGTTATGGGCCAGAAGGCATTGTGATGTGGACCGGAAGGTCGACGCGGGTAAGACCGGAAGGTTTACCGGGTCGGGACGAAAGTCCCCTGAGACACATGGACCGGAAGGTCATGGCCTGGAAAGGCGTATGTGCGTAAGTAGTATTTTGGGGAACTCACTAAGCAATTATGCTTACAGTTGTTGTGTTATGGGTTTCAGGTATTAGGGAGGACCGTGGGAAGGCACCGGCGTGATCTGTACACACTGATGGAGGATTTATGATCTTGGGATTTATATGATTTGTATTATGATATGATACATTGGATCTTTATGACTTGTTTTGAATGAAAACATGTTTTTTAAGAAATGGAAATTTTGTTTTAAAAATTTACGTTGTTACAAGTTAGTATCAAAGCCTTGGTTTGAGGGATTCGGGTGCACCTTCGGGCGTAACTGAACTCAAACCGAGGATTTGAGAAAAAATTTCATAAATAACAACATAAAATTTTATAAGAGATTTTGTGATAACCAAGGATGAAGCAGTGTGTACAGTCAGCCAGCGCCCGAACGGTAAAATCCCCAAAATACCCTTACAATATGTGTTATGGGATATGCTATGATATGTTATGCATGCTAGGGTAGACTAGGTATTCATATTAGGACTAGAGTGGCCCTATTTGTGATGCCTTAGTCTAGGGGAATCCTGCTGCTATGAGATGCTTTGAGAGCGAGTAGGTAGCCAGTGCATAGCAAGAATAGAGTACTCGTGATCCGGGGTCCAAGGAGGAGGACTTGGGGTGAATGTTGATGCGGTGTAGTCAGTAGTATAGGGCTCGTACTACTGAAGACATCAGATCAGTGGGCAACCCAAGTAAGAATCATTTGGGTATCGAAGGTCGAGTAGGGTTGCGTTATCGAGTGCAAGTATGCTCGATTGGGTCTCTGATATTTTATGTTGTATTTCAGAGGCATCATGGTTGGGACACGCCACAGACCTGGGACGAGCAGCGTGAGTGACGAGGAACTTCGTCAGATGATCCACGATGAGGTGGCTGCGGCAATCCGGGCCGAGATTCCGGAGATGTTTGGGTCTATCAAGACCACGCTGTTGGAGACTTTTGATGAGCGGTGCGCCGCGGTGACTGAGGCTGCAGCTACAACAGTTGTGTCGGCTGCCAGACCTCAAGGGGTGACTCATTGTTCCGGGAGTTCAGCAACACGAATCCACCTGAGTTTGATGGGACGCAGGACCCTATCGCTGCGATGCGATTGATTGCTGACATTGAGGGATGCTTCTATATGTGTTCATATCCGGAGCATTTGAGGGTACGATTTGCTTTGAACCAGCTCCGCCTGGAAGCGAAGGATTGGTGGAAGTTCGTGACGGCAAACTTCACTCTTGAGGAGATTTCAGCGGTGACTTGGGAAAGATTCACCACCATGTTCAGAGATGAGTATGTTCCCCCGGTGGAGAGGGAACGACTGGTTCAGGAGTTCTTGACCCTCAAGCAGGGTAATGATTCAGTTGTTGTGGTCACCCAGAAGTTTCATGAGAGGGCGATGTTCTGCCCTGAGCAGCCACGGATAAGCCGATATTTGGGTATACTGAGGAGGGACATTCGGGAGTTCGTATCGAACTCGACATACCGGACATTTGCTGAGCTCCAGGAAAATGCCCGGAAGAGGGAGATCGAGTTGGAGACTCAGGCCAAGGAGGAGGCCGAGTCTCAGCAGGTGGATCGGCGGCCGACTCAGTCCTAGCCGGCAGCCAAGCAGACCAAGTCCGTTGATTCGAGGACGGGAGGTCAGAAGGGCCGCACTTGCGGAAAGTGCGGTAAGGATCATGAGGGGGCCTGTCGATCAGGTGCTTGCGACAAATGTGGCAAGGAGGGGCACATCGCTAGGGATTGCCCTAAGGGATTTATGGTCTGCTTCCATTGCAA